AGAGAAAGTACGATTTGAAAACCGTTGCGCTCTTAATTTTCGTAATCACGGCCAGCTTATATTCGGTCAGCGGTCACTCCCATTGTGACGTAGATTACTCAAAACACTTTCATATTTAGACAGAAACCTCATGAAACTTAGTGAAATAGTCTTAGCGTTATAAAAAGTATTATGTACGATCAAAATACTGTTTTTGAAAATTATCCACGAGCACGGCGCGTCAAAATTAGTAATCTCCAAACTCGCGCTAGTCTTCTTGAGGTTGACAAGTCATTACGAAAATTAATGGCGGAACGGTTTTCAAATCGTAATTTCTCGCCCTAAAATTTAATTTCAACTAAAATTATTTTTGAAAAGGCTTTATTAATCGCTAAAAATTCATATTATAATGAAATAACTGAATTTTTCGGGTTTTTAAATTATAGGGCGGTTTCATAAGAGTGCTCCTTTAATGATTTATATTACCTGCGCACTTGTGTCCCCTCTAAACCCATGATTGCAAGAGCAGTCGTGAGATTTCTCGTTGTTTATGCAGTTGCCTTTCTCGCTGCAATTGTACTTTTTTAACAATTTCGTTAATGACAGAGATGAAATTGATATGTGTTTATCGTCTGTCTGCTACATCTTTGTCGTTTTCATTCTACATTCCCTCTGAAAGAAACCACTTTAAATGACCTATGAAATCGACTATAGAAAATTAACGGAGCGAAAGACAGTTTTAGGATTTGGCAGAAACTGACGAACAGCGAGTTCTCAAAGGCCGTGTTATGCATCCTTTTACAGGAATGTCTAACAGAGAGCTCCTCTCGCGCCTGGAGTATAACGGTAAGGCGAAAAAAATGTGTCGCAGTCACAAAGGCCTCTGATATCATTGTAAAGTCTTGGTTGTATTACAGGGTTTTCTCACGTTTGCGTATGATAACCATTCTCTATCAGTTTTCTGCCTCAGAACGATATACTTTGAATCGCATTTAATATGAATACATGTTTTCATTTTTGGCAGATAAAAATTAAAGATTCGACGCAGTGAACTCAAGGAGTTTTTTTGTTTTTGTTTTTTGTCCTCACAAAAGCACATAATTATTTTCGTTCGCGGAAGTCTTACTGATCGATCGATTGCAAAAATCAGCTGTTAATATGAAGACTAGTGCATTCATGTTAAAAAAATTGGTTAATGCTCGAGCAACTGGACTCATTATGACAAGTAGTCATTTACCGCCCCAGATCGGTCCGTATAGGAAAAAACTGAGCCCTTTTCCAGCTTTTCTTTTCTTTCACTAACACCCCGCCCGATAAATTGCATATATCTGTTATCTTCTCGTTTAATTATATTCGATGGTTTACTACTATGAAATGAGACTCAGCTGTGTATTAACCTCTATTAATATATGTTTTTTTTCTTTTCACTTGTTTAGGAATGTATTCCAGCATACTGAAATTTTTTGATGGTCAAAAATTTACCACATATGATCAAGATAACGATGGAGCGCCACATCATAACTGTGCCGAGAAATGTAAGATGGGATGGTGGCACAACTCTTGTAATGCTAGAGACTGCCCGATGAGCGATGTTAACGAAATGTTGCTAAATTAAAACTAGACGATATCCACCCTACACCAGAAAGCCATAATGGTGAAAAACGTCTATAATAGAAATTGTCCTTTTTCGTTTAACTTTTAACCCGCACATAAAAAATGGAATCATAACTGCCCACTTTCAAATATTATTTAACACTCGAAGGAAACATACGTATCCCCTCACAGCTAAGTCCTTTATTTATGAAATAGCTGACGGCGCCAGTAGGTAAGATAAACTGATTTCATGTTAAAAATAAATCTTTGAAACATACTAAATTGACCAAGCTTGCACGATCAGGATGGCTGGTTATTATCAGATCGCGACTTCGTTAAAAAAAAACAAAAAAACGAAAAAACCAAAATTAACAGAAGAACTTGTCTAATATCCAGCCACCTTGACCTCACGGAGTTGGTCGGTAACATACATTTATTGATAGATGTTCGTTATGTTTCTTTTGAAGATAATGGGGCTGGCCGTAAACGTCTCAGCTTGGGTTAACTATTGTAAAT